CCACCAGCGACGAGCGCCCGCCCCGCACCCCTAGCCTGACCATCTGCCAGGCGCGGATGGCCGACAAGGAAGCACCGGGGTGGGGGGGGGGGGCGGGGGGGGGGGGGGGGGGGGTACGGCATTCTCCAAGAGTTCAAGGCTGCAAAATTGATCATCATAACTAAACTAGCAAGAATATATATATAAAGAAAATCTTTTGCTTGCTGTTTTCTGGTAGCCGACCGGAAAGGGTTAATTGTGCAAAAGTTACATTTTACTTCTGGCAAGACTATACATCGATAAATTGGCGATATTTAGTTTCAGAAGGTCTCAAACACGATGCCGTTTACTCGTCCTAACGTATGAACGGATAGATGCCTTATGCACGTACATGTCGAGTAGTCCTGATTGTTTCAAGTTTGAACGCATCCATAATCGTTCCTACTGAAGTAGCTTCACCCAGCTTCTCTTGTAGTACGCTTATTGTTTGAAGACGATCGTGAACTGACTTCGGTTCTGTTATCTAAACAACGCCACCCTTCTCTACCGATTCAGGCTGACCATTAGGATGAACAGTTTCTTCGTCGTCATTGCTGATAGACAGAGTTGAATCATCTTCGCTAGAGATGAGTTCATCAGTGGATGTGTCGTCGGATTCTGCTTCAGCAGGTGAAAAGCTTCGGTCGACCTTCCAACCACCATCTTCGGAGATGATACTGTCGAGATTAGCGCTGCTGTCGATTGGTGAGATTCCACGGGTTCGCTTCCAACTCGTCCCGGCTATCACCATTCTCATCTGAAAAATCAAGAGAATGTCAGTCTCTTCTAAAGAAGGTTTCTCCATGAGTCCAGCATTCATGAGTAATAAAAAACGAAGGTGATATATATCTTGTAGTCGACGAATACTTTCAACGAGTTTTTGTCAATAGATATATGTGAGGAACACGATGTGACGACTGGTATTCATATTGGAAGCAACAGAGTAACGAATCGTATCGAAACGAAATCGCAAAACATAAAGTACACTTAAAACAAGAGCGAAAACTGTCAGTAAAACTCGACTGCTATATTAGGTTCCAGCTGGACCCACCACCTAATTTTTACCCAGCAAAGGCTACGAAGGATGTTTTATGTGGAACCCGTCCACCGCCGATAGACTAGCAATTAGAAAAACGATCGTCCCAAACAGTAGAGTTAGTGGTATAGAAACAAGTAAAAGTGCAGTGACCACTGCTAGACCCACAAAAAGCGTCCTAGAGCTGAATCATAGGCGAATCCAAAATATGAAATCATTTGGAATAACCTACAAAAAATGCAAGCCACATCAAGTTTAATGGGTAGTTTTTGTGTACTCAAAAAGTGAGTACACTATAGAATCGGCCAATACGTCCGTCCGTCCGTGCGTCCGTCCGTCCGTTAATCCGACAACTCTTAAAAGAGTTATCCAATTGTCATGAAACTCGGTACATACTATTATCTTGGCAATGTCTCGGTCGAGTTCGAAGATAAATCCGATCGGCTGTACTTTTTCTGAACTTCGGTAAAGTTTCATCCAACTCCTATATGAAAAAGTTGAACATTTACGCATTTGTCCGCCTGTTTCTTTTGCATTTACTTTCTGCATCAGCGATGACCACAAAATCTTCTATACTGATTTCTTGGATGCGCAAAAATATGAGGAAAGTGCTGACTGATCGGTGAAAGGGTAGGCATGGATGGCCTGGATGATATCTGCTTAGAACTTCATCCAAGCGATTTTCATCAGAAAAGTTACGAAATCCTTTATAGAGCTTCTGTGAGTGTAGAGAAATATCGAGAGAGAGTTAGTAGGTCAGTAATGAGGGTGGGTAAGGTTGATGTGGGTGAGATCCCACCCGAGTGGTTCCCTGACTGAGAACGGCTCGAAACTTTGCATGCGTCTTCCATATGTGTAGAAAACATCGAACGAGTGCTTGCAGAGTGAGGATGAGGGTGAGGGTGAGGGTGACAAGTGTTGACGACCTGGGTGCAGCCTGGGTGAAATTCTACCCACACGATTTCGTCAAAGGAAAGAACGCCAAACCTTCCGTGCTGCTGCCGTACGGATAGAAGGAATAAATGGAGTGTGAGGGGACCACCAAGGAGATAGATAAAGATGGTGTGGGTGAGTTATCACCCAGGTGGTTTTATGGCAGATAAGGTTCTGACGAGGATCTTGAGAGCGGGCTGTGCGTTTATTTCACTGAGTTCACACATCATCACGTCACAGAGCTCTATCATATATATCTTCATCAAAATGTGCGTGGCGAATTTCGATTTAGGAAAGGTGAAAGTGAACGGAGATAATGAGAATGAATGTGAGCTGATGGACTTGGGTGAAGTTCGCCCAAACCATATTTGTATGCGGTAATGTTAACAAAGACAATTCGAGACGTGTTGGGTGATGTAAACCGTAGAGATCCACCGAAAACACAATTTTTGTTGAAATCTACACTTCAGTTGAAAACGGTTAAAGTGTCAACAATATGCTACTAAGAACAAATTTCAAGTATTTCAGTATACTGATAACCCTCTCCGTCCGGTGTTGCCATATGGCAACATTGAGGTAATATTTTGCGTAAAGTCGATATATAAAATTACTTTAATATATTTTAAATAATACGATAATCACGACTGAACATTTCAAGACATATTAACGCACTCAGAAGAGGAAAAGAACATTCACAGCGAAATTGGCAAAGGTTCTACGACAGGCACCAAAATCGCTTCCAAATTGTAAAACCGCTTTATCTCGACAATAAAATTTTTAATATCCGATAGAATTAGCGATAAATTTTATGAATACGTCATGGGATGTCCTTTTAAAGATGTCTTTCAGAAAATGCCCTCCAAAACTTTGTCCTTTGGAAAATGTCTTCTAGGTGAAATATCTTTCCAAAAATGTTCTTCGGAAAAAAGCCCCTCATATAAAAAAAATGTCCTTTACTTTAAGTGAGTCTAATGTTAAAATGAAGTTGGACCAATATGTAGATGACGCTATAGTAAGAAGATGTTGGTAGTTTATATCACTTTCATAGAGGAAAGATTGATAGCAGAATGAAGAAAGAAAGAACGAACAAAGTTAATATAAAACAATTGAATATATCAATATCAGGTTGACGAACCGACGCATTGTATTCTCTTAAATGACGTCCATTGATTCGATAATCAGTAATGAAAGATCATTATCTTCACCATCTACATTTCCAATAACATCAGCGTCATCACCTTCACCATCCATCGAGAAAACAACATCGAACCAACATAAACCAATGTTATACATTAAAGGATATTACTATCAGTTGAAAGATTTTAAGAAAAATAAAAAGATTAAATTTTGGCGTTGTGCTAAGAGTGATTGTGGTGTTCTTTTACATACAAATCTCAAGGATGAATTTATACGTTATTCTGGAAAAAATACTGATTATAAACATCTTCCGAATCCTACTGCATTAGGAACGCGTGATCTTAAATTAAAAATGCGACAAAGAGCTGAAACAGAATTAACACCATTACAACAAATTGCTGAACAAGAACTTCGAAATGGCTTATTAACAAGTGATGCACTGGCTAATTTACCAAATATTTTTGAACTTGGTATAGTACAAAGCCGTATATGGGTGATGAATGTACTTAATGTACTTTTTTCTCTTTCTAGGTCGTGGTTTAAGTCATATTCGACAAAAAATCTTCCTTCAACACCAAATTCATCATCTTTTGTCATACCAGATAAATATACAAGAGATCATCTTGACCGTGATCGTTTACTATTGCATGATAGTGCAAATCCACAGTTTCAATTTGATTCATCAGAAGATATAAAAATATCAGGAAGAATTTTAATTTGGTCATCTGATATCCAACTTAACTTATTATTTAACAGTGAAAGATTACATATGGATGGCACATTTGCAACTTCACCACCAGATTTTTCTCAAGTTTTTATCATACAAACGATTCGTCATGAATCTTGTAAGCTATGTTTACGACACTGAACTGCTTGCAAATAAGGTTACTCATACTTATTAAATTATCTTTTGTTTACAATAGGTACGCCCGTCGTTTATGCACTTCTTCCTGGTCAAAAAACAAGTTATTTATACTTATTTAATGCCTTATTTCATCATGCTCAAATATTTAATAAAACGTTAGATCCTGTGAACATAATGACTGATTTTGAACCAGGTCTTACCAAGGCAGTTTCAATCCAGGTACAATTTTAGTCAACAATAACATATTTTTGCTAATACAGCTTTCTCTACTTTTATAAATTTTAGTCCTAAGAGAAAACCATCCAAAAGGGATGTTTTTCTTCATTTCTGTCAGACGATTTTCAGACATGTTCAATCACAAGGTTTATCGACAACTTATCTGAATAATATTATGGCCCGAAATGTGGTTAAACAAACAATGACTTTAGCATTAGTATCTCCATCACATGTTCAATTATTATTTAATGAACTTGGTCAAGAATTAAATGATGATGAACGTAATGAAATTTTGGATTTATTGCTGTATTTCAAGAACTATTGGATGCGTCAGATATCGATATGGAATGTTTATGAAATACCTGATCGAACAAACTATTATAGTGAAGGTTTTTTTAAAGCACGTAGTACTTTGTATTAATTATACTGCGATATTTTTAGGTTACAACAACAGATTTAAAAAACGTCTACAGAAAACTCACCCGAATATATGGCATTTCATTGATTCAATTCGAGAAGAAGTCCATACTATTCATGATTCAATTCAACAAATTAATAGTGGGATGCCGCCTCGAACGAATAGATCTCAAACAAGGACATCTGAACGACGTATCAAAGAACTTTATTGTTGATATAATCGAAACAAAATTACAGTACAAGAACTTTTACGTGGTCTTTCTTTTTATGCTGCAAATGAAAAATAAAATAACAGTTAATATATTATAATAAATCAAATACATACATATAATATTGGGTTGTCAACAAAGTTCTGGCGTTTTTTTTTCTAAAATCTTGTAGAATAACCTAGAAAGTTCTAGAAGTTTACATACTACGGGTATATATATAGGACCTGAATGTCTTTCGAATGATTAAAAAAAATCATCGATATGGATGTTGATGTAGAACCAAAAATAAATCTTTCTCATAAAGAGATTCGCGTGCTTTAACTTCACGAATTTCGTTTGGGCCACAAAGCAACGGAAGCAGCCAACAACATATGCAGTACAATGGGCCAAAGTCTAGTCTCCACTCGTACCGCGCAACGTTGGTTCAATCATTTCAAGAATGGGGATTTAGAACTCGACGATCTACCTCGATCCGGTAGACCAATGGAACTGGATATGGATCTTTTAAGGCAGCTTATAGAAGATCCTCGATTGACTTTACGGTGTTTAGCAGAGCAACTTGAGTGTTCTGATACTACGGTGGAAAACATCTGAACGAATTAGGCAAGACTTGGAAATACGGAGTATGGATACCTCATGAATTATCATCATATCAACTGCAACAGAGAGCTGATACATGTATGGATTTAATCACATCTCATCGCAACTATCAATGGTTATCCAATCTGATTGCTGGCGATGAGAAGTGGGTGTTATATGTTAACTACACACGTAGACGTCAGTGGTTGAGCACTGGTCAAACAGGCGTAGCAACACCGAAGACTGATCCACACCCTAATAAGTTGATGCTGAGTGTCCGGTGGGGTATTAAAGGAGTTGTTCATTGGGAACTTCTACCAAATGGTTACACTATCACTGCTGATCTATACTATCAACAATTGGATCGGGTAGCTGAAAAACTCAAGAGAAAACAGGATCGAGTTTATTGTTTACATGATAACGCAAGACCACATCTTGCAAAGTCGACCCGTGAAAAATTATTAAAGCTTGGCTAGATCACCGTTCCTCATTCACCTTATTCTCCAGACTTGGTTCCAACAGACTACCGTTTGTTTCGTTCTCTTTCGAATGATCTACGTGATAAAAAAAGTTCAAGGACGAGAGCGACGTCGAAAAGGAACTTATCAAGTTCTTTGATGAAAAATCCCAAGATTTTTCCGAGTGCGGGATCATGTCTCTGCCAGAACGTTGGTGACAAGCGGTAGATAGTGATGGTAAATATATATCTGGAAACTAGTTGTACTTTTGAAGTGAAAAAATAAAAGTAAAATTTATGAAAAAAACGCCAAAACTTTGTTGACAACCTAATATAAATAAACATTATTATTTCGGTGTTTTAGAGTGATATTTTCAGATTGGCAAACTTTTATGTAAATACATGTCGGTGCGTTACTTCAAGTTTTGCCGATAACTCACTCATTTTTCAAGCAATTCATATTTTCTTCTCAGCAATAGATAGCCCTGATGTTCAGCTATAAAATCTTCTCTTACGAAGACCTATTAATATGGAGTAGTTCGCAGAATCTATCGTGTCTTTCGTATTCACTGAGAAACGAAGGTCCATTTTGTCTGTGTGTTACCGACTAGTATTTCATTTATAAGATCTGAATAACTACACCGTTAAGGCTCAACTTTTGAACTATTATAGAACTTGTTTAATTACATGTTTGTTGAAAATTTCAGATTTCTCCCTCTTGTCGTTCTCCAGATACAATCGTTCAAAGTCGAAAAAATGTCTTTGCGTTACCTGCGTTTTGCATGATTAGCAGATTTCCCCCATTTGTGTCTTTCTAATAGTGAAAACCGCACGTCTCTAGCTATTATCGTTCTTGAGATATTCAAAAAAACATCGATGCCCATTATATTTTGGCGTCGATAGTAGGTAGAGATGTATCAAAACTTGAAAATATGAGGCTTTCACACGAGTGAAAAGAACTGAGATTCTAAAAATTTGTGACCCATAGTGGCCGGATGTTTTTATTTGGCAACATGTGGTATTTCAGAGTCTAAATAGTTTTTTGTTTTAAAAAGCACATTTTGGGGATTTCCTGAAGGAATAGATACTAGAAATTGAGAAAAAAAGGTTTTCTCCATATGGCTTCTAGAAGCCGGACGCAGAGGGATAAAGAAAGCGCATTACACGTAAAACTAATGAATGTATTTCTACCGTTGGTCTACACGAAAACTCCTGAAACGCTAATCTGATCGTGAGGAAATTTTCGATGACATATTGTCACATGAAAATCACACTAAAATTGGAAGATGAGAATGTTTGGGCGAGTGATGCTTAAATTATTGAAAAACTACATTCATATTTCTCTATGACTTCTTGTATCTTCGAGCTGTTACCCTTTTTGCAGTACACTCAACTTTCGGATAAGATCCGAAGTTCCCGCATTTATCTGGTAACATATTTCATGATGAAAATATTAAAACCAACCAAATATATTCGTTTCTCAGGTCTAACAGAGTTTCTCGGGGACCATTTTTCCAGGTTTCCTTCAGGCCGACGGGCGGGTGGGTATTGCTTCTCTTATGGACGATCTAGGCGGGTAACGCCGCAAAAAAGTATCAGATACGCGGGCGGGCGGGTAGAAATCATTTTCGGGGCATAATGAAGCGGTATCAAAAATCATCGACAGACGTCTTTATTTTACGTATGTGATATATAGTGTGTTGATTGGCTTTTTTCTTCAACCTCCTAGATATAATCCATTTATTCTTTGTCTGCTCTATCCCTTATCCCTCTTCTATGCCATATTAAAACTCGATTAATACCATTTAATTATTGATCTGATAAGACAAACTAAAACTAGAATTCATTTAATTTTAGAATTGATATTCATTGTTGGTTCTCTCTGCTTTTAATAAAATGATTGAATTATGCGATTTATCAGCGGACGATGAAACATGTGATGTTGTCACATCATCAAATACTATTGATTCAACGTTAGATAAAATTGGTTCATCTCCAAACACTTGTCGTTCTCCTGGCCAAAATTCAACAGATTCAATTATATATAACATATCGAATATCAAGAGATTTTTAAAAGAACAACCGGACAAATATGTACTTGTGGGAAATCACAAAGTGAATCCTACAAAACCAGCTGACTGTTGGAATCGATTTTCTCTCCTTGCAGTGAAAGATGAAACTGGTGGTAATACTGTCATCAAAAACTTCGCAACGTTTCGATCTCGTTACACCACTTATCCATTCAATATTGGATCGACTAAATCATTAAATTCGCACATATGTGCACCATCGACGTCATCATCTCCATCGTTTAGGTACATTAATTATCATCATTAATTTTCAATCTAATATATTCATATTTGTAGCATCAGAACACAATGGAAATCGAAGGCCAGCCAACTCTGTGGTGGAAAAAAGATGTAATTGACATCAACTATTACAAAGCGGGTGTGTGAGAGTATGCGTCCGCTGAGTATTGTCGAAGACAATGGTATTTTTAAACATCATTCGAGAATGTTTAAATTTGAATAGTGGTGAGAAATACCTATTTAAATTTTAATGACTATTCAACTATCTGTTTTTCTCAATTAGGTCCACTCGCTGGTGTCAATATAAACGATATTGTCCCTTCGAGATTGGCGGTTGCACGAGAAGTTACTCGGCAACCGAATGAAATTCGCGAATGTTCTGGCGTTGAACTGAAAGATGTAGCTAATAAAGGATATTTATCAATTAGTTCAGATCTTTGCTCTGACAAGTTCAAGCAAAATAGCTCATTATGTTGACGATGATCGTGTCTTACTTTCAGTTATTCTCTCTTGCGAACCCTACAATGAAATCGATAAACGTGCTAATAGTGTTCGAAAAGTTACAAATAATATTTAATGCAAGTTCTCCTCAATTTGTCGTCTTTCCAATTTTTATTGTTTCAACGAATAGGCAATTACTACAGCGCTTTTTCGATTTCAACTTAATTCTTCAATGGATAAAACCACGTATGTGTGTGATCGTGGCAATAATCTGGTCAAAGCATTAGAAGATCATGAATTTGTTCATTGTTTTCCTCATCGATTAAATAAAGTGGTCAAACGAGCGTTTTATAGTGCTGGTACAGCAGAGAAGAACGAGAAAAAGAAGAAAGGATCAACAAAGAAGAACCAGAACAATGACCAATTTAGCCAAATTTCTTTTATTACGGATGATGAAGATCCTTTGATGGACTACGATGATTGAGACTCTAGTGAGAGCGGAGATGATGAGGAGGATGTTGGTCTCGATGCAAAAACAGTTGAACTAGCACTTCGAAATTTATCACCGTCTTCTGAATGCGACCACATCAATGTGCTACAGAAAGACTTGCCTCTTCCAGCCACTCACGTCTTGGCAACGATTGTTCGATGTAAACAATTATGTTGTTATGTGAAACGGGTATTCATAGCTTTTGTCTTGTATTGATCCATTTCTTAAACTATTTACTCATTCTTTTATAAGTGAATTGGAATCCGCTACTTCAACAATTGAAAAAAAAAACAGGATAAAGCAAGAAATCATTGTCAGATGGCTTTCTATGTCATAATTACTCGAAAGTATCCTTTCTTCATACTCAGCATTAACTAATATTGTCAGCGAGAAAGGAACTCTTCATGCTCTTCCTTCAATCGATGTAACATCACTAGCCTCTATCGTTAGTTTATTTTCACCGTGGAAACAGGTGATAGAAAGAATACAGTCAACCAATACACCATCACTTCATCTTGTTGTTACATGTTACTGGTATTTTCTTTAGAGCATGCTCGTGACCAAAGAGGAGATATCCGATAAAACAGCTCGAGTAAATCATTGGATAACAACGAATCGAAGAACAAGCTAGTTTATCCAGGTATTGTTTTTTTTTAAATTCAAGCTCGCCACTTATTGAAAGTAATGTTTGCCATTCATGAAGTGCACTGGATCGCTGCAGTACTTAATTCTCGAACACGTATACTGAAAATAGCAACAGATGCTGAATGGTGTCATGCACATGGCTTAGTTTGCTTAAAGATTACAAAGATCATGGAATCAGATCGAATTAATATTAATTAATCAATGCAATCTGTGGAAACAGTTGCTCCGTCGTCGCTGCCTCGTAAGAAATTTAAATCTTTTACAACACAATTTGAGGATGATACCAGCTTTAATCAAATAAACTGTGACTCGACAAATACGATGCGAGCTCGCCGTGAATTAGATGCTTACTTGCAATTAGATTTGTTGAAGACTACCTATTCTGCAGAGCAGTATGATAGTCCATTATTGGTCTGGGAGGAACATTAACGTATTTTGCCTAACTTGTCAAAATTATGGAAAATGGTATTTAGTATTCCTGCCTCATCTGCTGCTGTAGAAAGGTCATTTAGTGCTGCTAGCTTTATCATATCCCAAAGAAGAGCCAATCTCAATCCATTAACAGTCAATGACATGATGCTAGTGCGATCAGCTGCTGCTCATTTGAAGAGTGCAGTTTGAATTTTTCTTCTTTTTCTCTATTATAAGCTATTTGGTTATGTTTGAGAAATGATTCAAAATAAATTAGATCATAAATTCAAAGATCTTCGGGTTTGTGCGGGGCGGGGTGCGCTTTGAAGTGCTCACGAGGCACGAGCCGAGCGAGTTGGTATTTCGGACAAGGCAGATCACGCGGATCATCGTAATTCCATGCCCCGCCCATCTCTGACCGAAATAGGAATAGACTTCTGCTCTGTGAGATGTCGTCAAGGCTGAGATGAAAGAAAAACTACGATTCCAGTCCATCCGTCTTTTTCAGGTATTCAACTTTGACACAGAATCAATAGCAGCATCATATTCGCATATATTTTCTACATCTACCTGCATTCATGATTTCCAGTAGTACTTCTACAGCATAACAGCTTTATGCCTCACAGATATACCATGATACTCTCTGTGAAATACAATACGGACGTGCTTGTAAGATTTTTGTCAATATTTGATTTTTCAGATATGTAGAGAGAAAAAAGAATCCTTTTCTCTCACTTTCCAAACCACGGACAGTGTTGTCGAGATGGACCTATGCAGAGAACTTCTGTTGAGTACCCTGTGGGTTGGATTTACAACACACTTCACTTTATTTAAGTATAACGACGATGCGTTCTTGATATTGTATTTTCTGTTTGTATCGAGACCCGAAATAGCCAGAAATTCGTTCAAACTTCAATCGACTCACCGTGTCAGACTCTATTTGCACCATAAAAGTGACTTGTTTTCAACAGACGACTCTCGAGTTTCTAGAAAAGTCTTTTGACTGTGTAATAGTGTTACATACAGAGCCTCTCATTGTGTAATGTTTATCAATTATCTCTGACTTCTGGCCAAACTGTCATACGAAAAAAATCACCGTCTTGGTGCAAGACAACTATTTTATCAGCCACTTTTGGTATTCTTGGTACGGTTGAAATGGTTTGAATTTTTGAATTATCAAGTCATATGAGTTGCTGGGTACATGTTAAAACGAATCAGATCCATCCATCGAAATGAAACAAGATAATCCCTAAAAAAAAGTGGAGCTATTTGCAGAAATACTCAACAGTCTTCGGCGTCAAACTAATGTGCTAGTGACGTTGTTTGTTGAAAATGATATTCGGCATCAAACTATGATTCTTAATGCACTTTAAAACATTTTCTTGCTGAGAAAGATCAAAATCTGATTCTGATTCTTCTCTGAAAGTGGAGACCGATTTGTTATCAGTGGCAAAAGTACATTGAGAAACATTTGAGTGTTTTACCCAGGAATAAAATTACTTTTTCGAAACTTGATGGTCAAGATGTTATTTTATGTAGGCAAATCGACTTCTGTTGAGCACACAAAGAGAATCAACTATATGTTATTAGATGTCTTTGGTCTTTCTTTACTTTTTACTGTATTGACTTAGAATGTATCTGCTTGTGAACAGAAGCCAAGGTTTTATTTTTATAGATAAAAACACCACAAAAACAGCTCGTTATTCCGGAGTTTGTTCGTTTCTCTATTTCTTTTACATCATGTGAAGTTTTGCGTATCAAATATTTTATCATACACACAAGCTGATAGGTAATTAGACATAAAGGTGATCACTCTTCTGTGTCGTATTTTATCGTTGGGGATTGACGTCAAAGATATTTCTATACCTATATATTTATATTTTTCTTTGTTCGTATTCTAAGGACAATCAAGAAAGGTAAAAACGAAGGATATAATTGATCGAGCATATATATACATACATACATACGAAGAGAAAGTAGTATTATAAGCGTAACAAATTCGTCCTTCGCAATATTTGTGCTTGTGAAGGATTCAATCACTACGAAAGACACTAAATATTAACATCGTTTCATACTGCTCTGACGAAACAACTGGATCACTGGAAATCGATCATCGCTCAGCGCCACGAGTGCGACAGTACAAATAGAACTTACATTATCTGTCGACAGCGCTCAAATCTTTCGCAAAAAGTTGAATACCAATAACGAAGTAAACTCTGCTTCAGCAAGAACATCAACTACAGAGACGATGGTTGCATCATAATGTTTTATCCGACATCGTTTCAAAGTGGTCTCATACGAGATAGATTCAATACTTCAAATATCGAGGAAAACAGTGATGAGTCGGACAAGTATGGCCCAGTATTAAAAAGCAGTTATCCCAAACACAATGAGACGCATACTCCGTGTAGTATCCAGCGAAGCTGTTCAGTCCCTGGCTACTTTCCCTAATATTCTTCACCTCTTTCATTGGGCATCGTATAACTCAATCCATGGACAATGATGTGTAGGGACCTAATTTTTGTTGAACCGCTGAAATACATTCATTGGAGACCAATCACTTACGCGAAAAGCTGTTTTATTTACAGGTATGTAAAATCTTCTACCTGTTGTCTTGCATTCAATTTTGGGAAACCGAAGTTGGGGTATTGCTAAGATGTAGCAAGACTTGAACCGGGACAACAGTTTCCTTCCCTCTTTCTCGTTGTTCGGCTTGCAACTTTGGGAAACCGAAATTGCGGTCTTGCTAAGATGTAGCAAGACTTCAACCGAAACAACACCCTCATCTTCCTATCTCTCTCTTTCTCTTTCGTCGATTTGCTGGAATATTTTGGAGAGACAAACGGATGGTTAAGTGCGCTAACCGTGCATGTAGATACATCTGGGACGCAAATGAATGGTTAATGAGAAGACAAGCTCTTCCATCAGCTGTATATGTCCTATCAAGGCGCATCATATGCAACCATTGAGGAAGTGTTCATTCCCGATTGGTGCTTTTGGCGAGAGCACCGTATTTCAAATTGCATGCGCTGGTTCGATAATAATGTTGCGGATGATGCATGAAGCGTTAATTATGACAAATCGTGTCATTTGGAGACTTCCTGAACGTTAATATCAAAAGGGTGTTAGAACTGTTTTCTTCAGTGCCACTACCATGGAAGTGACAACGACGAGAAATAAACACATGTATGAACACAGAGCATATTTTTTGTTTTACGTGTATGTCAGATGTTAAAAATACAGATGAATAGAAGTGTGGGTGAGAATGTGGGACCGAGAAAGAGGTGATCGGGGGCAAGCAAGAGTAGACGGATGTACAACTTTATACGTCAAACCGAAGATAAGTCAGGGAGCATTTCAAGCTTTGCGTCTGCCGCTTTGCTACCCAGCTGCTCTCCCACCATCAAATGCTTGTGAAGGAGAGGGTTCCTTATGAACTACTTCGTTTTTCTTTGAAGTTAAAAAGGTTCCACATAATACAATGACCGAGCAAACAATCCAGTATGGCTTTGCCCGACGCTAACACAGATGTCGTGTGAACCGCCAAGATTTTCTTTACTCTAGAAGCATTTCGTACAATATCATTGACATCTTTAATAGCCTGATAATTAATGTTTAACAGCAGTATCAATTCAGATTAACGAAAAAAATTTTCCGAACGAAAATTCACCCGATTCCTCTCCATGATCATCACTAACTGATCATGCATCTAGCAGTCACGAATCATCAATGGAAAAGCAACAAATAACAACATCATCTTCATCAGCTGATTTTCCATACTCCATCGATATCTTACCAGCAGAAAAACAAAAATTAGCCACATTCGCTTTACCACCTTTGAAAGGCAGAACAACGTGTTGCACGAATAAGGAGTGACAAGCATCGTCGAAATCAACAACCCAGTCGTCTTCTGTCCTGATGAAAAAGAATTCTGAAGTACGAAAACGTCCTGCTCGCCAGAACCCCTCCCTGTAATAAAAGCCCCCCTGTTTTTTCAAAACTTTTTACAGAGTTTTTCGGGATTTTCATCTGCTTATTGCCGTAAAATTTGAGGAAACAGTAGATTTTGAGGTAAAGAAGTAGTAATAACCCCCACAAAGCTTATGATCGCATACAAATCTGTCAAAAAACCCTAAAAACTTAGGTACCTAAAATTTTCAAAAAATGATGGGACATATTAGAAGCCCCCTTGAAAACCTTTTTACGCTTGCCAAGTTAGAGACCCCCGGGGGCTTCTATTACGGGGAGGGGTTTATATGAATGAATTGCTTCATGTTTAAAATTCTCTCGAGTTAAAAGACTTAATTGATCTGAAATCTTTTCAATACATTTTGTTCTAAACTTCTCGACACACACGTTTTTTTCACTGGAATATTCTTATATAGTGTTTATTCAACGCAACTACAAGTTGCATCTTCGAAACAATTTGCCTTCAGCATTTCTTCTCTTTCAAAATAAAAGAAGGGCCAGATAAAGCTCATCGGGTCGTTAATTGAAGTCATAAGAATATCTTAAAACATCACTCTTCACGAGTGTTTCGAATTTCTCTAAAGATAAAAAGAATTATGTATTGGGTAATAAGATAATAAGATGATAGATCATCGAATCAAAAGTCAATCCAACAATGGCTTTGTTTCTATTACGAATCTACATAGCCTCACGTCCGAGCTTATCTAACGAATCGATTTAGTTTTATAATATCAAGGCAGATGCGATAGATAAGTTAATTCGACGTAGATCGTCAGTGTCTGCATAATGTTAATTCTTTCCCTTTGGACGTTCTAGTTGGATAAAACAAAGAATTTTGCTATTGGATTATGATTTTCCTGTATACTAAAGCTATCCGTCTGCACTAAGAATAATCAAAAAATTGATATGAAAGGTATGTATCTTTTCGTTAATAAACAGATGTCATATTTTGTTTATTTTAAGTGTATGTTTATATTGGGTGGAAGGGTAGATTAGTTATCAGACACATCTATTCCGATTGCAAAACGAAATACGTTCCTTCTTTGATT